CCAAACTTTTGAACGGTGGTGTATTCTGGAAAAACATTCTTCATTTTTTTTGACCGCAATAATTTTTGAATTTTAGGAATGTAACAATCCCTGCTGCAATGCCACCACCTGTCGACTTACCGAAGGTGCCCATTGTGCACATGGAGAGTGCTGCCACAATTGCCAGGTATCCGCAAAGCTACCCACCAAGCTCAACAGGAAGACCATATTAAAGTTGTTATTGGACTGAAAATACATGTAAAAGTAGATTATTGCCTCAATCTGTTTTGTTAATCCTCCCTTGTAGCTGAAACATTCAGGTAGCCTGTGCAGAAAGAGTGCTCACGACTGTGATTTGGACGAGTACTGTACAGGAGTGTCAGCCTTCTGTCCCGAAGATGAATATAAGATGAATGGACTCCCTTGCAATTATAATCAGGGCTACTGTTACAATGGACAATGTCCAACACATAAGGAACACTGTAAGATGCTGTGGGGATCAGGTACTATTCTCACTGAGCCATTGCTCAAACACTGCTTTTTGGCAGCTCTCTTATGTTTTTACAATTTAACAAAAAAGCCTTACAGCTTTTTTTTTTTTTTGTTAAATTAATGTTTTTTTGTTTGTTTGTTTTTGTAAAATAAAGTTTCATATATGAATATTTAAAAATCAATCTTGTACACGTTTAGATGCTGAAGTGGATGCTGACACTTGCTTTCGTTATAATGTAATTGACAGAACCTCCAAGAGTGCTGAGTAAGTGTAACTTAACTTTTCTTTGATGGCTGAAGACTAAAAATAGTATTTTGTACATTGTTTTCTAATGACACAATGGTATTCTGAATCCTACAGGCATATGATGTGTGGGAAAATATACTGTTATGGTGGGAATGCTTTCCCCATAACCAATAGAAAATCATCAGTAACTATTCAATCGAGAACCTGCTATATGGCTGTGGATTCCTCGCCCACAGATGACTTAGGGATGGTTCCAGCAGGCACCAAATGTGGCATTGATAAGGCAAGTATATAATGAATGTATATTGCCTTGCACAAAATACAAAGTGTATAAAACCTTTATTTAGTTTTTTTTATATACGTGTGTATATATATATATATATATATATAGATAGATATATATATTTATATATATTTTTTTCAATCAACAGGTGTGTTACAACAACCTTTGCCAAGACGTTAGTATATACGGCTCTGAGAACTGCTCTAATAAATGCAACAATCGTGGGGTGTGTGATTTCTTTTTTTTTGCTTCCATTTTCCCATTTCTTTTATAACTTATTTTATGTTTCTCTTTTTTTTAAAGAAAAGCATTATTGCATGCAGTGTTTGTCATTCTGTGATATTGTAAAAGTCATTCCATTTTTCCATTTAGTCATTCAAATCCATTTTCAATGGATTTAATTTAAACACATGTAAACATATTTCTGACTTATATTTTAAAGGTGTGTAACCATGAGAGGAAGTGTCACTGTGATCCAGGATGGGCACCACCCTATTGTGGTGTTCAATTCTCAGAACTTCAAAAAAGTAAACCAACATCCTTACCATATCTGTACTACTTAATGAAATTCAATCATTGACGGTACAAAACTAATTCTGTACCATGTCAAATGTGTACCTTTACAGTGAGAAAAGAATCTGTGATAATTGGAGTGACTGCATCTGTAGTTGTTCTTGGATTGATCATTATTATTGGAGCACTGGTCTGTCACAGGAACAAAATAACAGAATTTAGAAAGAAAAGGTAGGATCTGTTATGCAACTGACAATCATGAACTATCAATTTCTGTTATCATTTCAATTATTGTACTATTAATGAAGGACATTCTGTTCTAAAAGGTCTTTGAAGGACATCCACACTTCCTCAGGTCAGTGTAATCCAGCATTCCAACCAGGAAGTGCAAAGAACAGCCCCAGATGCACACAATCACGCATAAGTCAACCAACTTTCCTCGAGTCATCTACTGCTCTGGCCTGCAAACCTCTCTATTCTCCAGCTATGCCCTCTAGACAAGCACCATTGGTAAAGTCATTCATTTAGCCTTGAAAGCCCTGTTTAATTTGTGCTTACAAAAAGTCCATTTTAGGGTGAAAGACATAATTTTTCTACCACTTATTTCTCACTATGCACAGCCTCCAAAGAATGCACCACAAACTAGGACAGAACAGGTAGTTTATCTTCTCTAAAAATGCATGTAGTTATTTACAAATATTCCTGGCTAAAACTGTTTGGTAACACTTTACTTGAAGGGGTGTGCATAAGACTGACATGACACCTTCATAATCATGACATGACACATGTCATGAATATGAAGGAGGTTTTATGCATGTTTATGACAACTGTCATTAAGTGTCATTCGCTCAGTTATGTAATTTTTAATGCAAATATGACATTATTTGACCTAACCCTAACCTAACCCTACCTCTACCTTACCCCCAACCATAGCCCATAACAAAGACATCTCAAACAATGTCATCTTTGCATTAAAAATTACATAACTGAGCGAATGACACTTAATGACAGTTGTCATAAACATGCATAAAAAACCTTCATATTCATGACATGTGTCATGTCATGATTATGTAGGTGTCATGTCATGATTATGAAGGTGTCATGTCAGTCTTATACACACCCCTTCAAGTAAAGTGTAACCAACTGTTTTAATAAAAATGAAAATGTACGTCCCTATTTTATTAGATTGTGAAACCTTCCATCCCACCTCCTGGTATTTCCAGAAACATTCATCCTGTTCAGGTGAGGCCCGGAATGTCTTAATATTACCTACCATTCAAAAGTTTGGGGTCATTAAGTTGTTTTAAATTGTAATAATATTTCACAATATTACTGTTTTTGCTGTATTTTTATCAAATAAATGCAGCCTATGTTGAGTATAAGAGACTGCAAAATAGTGTACATACTGTATAATTAAGTATAACTTTCATAATATTAATATTGGTTACTTTTAATGACCCTTAAGCTCATTACAGATGTGACATAAAACAGGTGACGTGAAAATGCAGTGAGACTAAAGAGAATTGGGTCTTTCTTATGGGTCATGTCTAAAACTTTGTTTCAGGTAAAACCCCTACTTCCACCAACTAAACCACTTCCTCCATCAAGACCGTTACCACCACTGGCATCTAAACCTGTAAGAGGCAATTTTTTCAACATTTATACTTGAATAATTTAGTCAACAAAAAGCTCCCCATCCCACTGACATGAAGACAATTCAATACTATTAACCGTTCTTTGTTTTGTACTGATAGGTGACTAAGTCAAAACCACCTCCAGTGCCTCCTGTGAAACCCACTGGGATGCAGCCAGCATTCAGTCCACCTCAGGTGTTGTAATGTTTTATTGCTTCACATTTAGCAGTTCACATATAAACTATAAAAAGCACTTTCAATTATCTGAAAAATTGCATTGTTAATGCTAATTTATTCAAGCTGCTTGACAGTCTAGTTGTGTGAATGAATTTTTAAAAAGTTTTAAAAGCTCTTTTGCATTCACTGTAGGTAATCCAGAAAGTTGCACTAAAACCTGCCAGGCCCAGATGATCTGGAACAAAATGAGTTACTCTGAATCATTGGGAGCTTCAGAAGGACCTTGGTATACAAAACTTGGGCAGCCGTTTACGAGCTGAATGAAGCTTGTTGTTTTTTGTGGAATAGCTCTGAAAAACAAGATGAAGTTAAGGAAAATGGTAAAATGGAATGAAACATTTGCACTGTCAGAATCGCTTTACACTTTCGGTACAAATTATTTGTAATATCTTTTATTGTATTTTGGCTTTCTTTTTCTGTTTATTTATTTTTTTTATATTTTCATTTAAAAAAATGTTATTTGCCGCTGTTTACAGTCAGTTCAGATTGTCTCTATGCAAGTCTACAGAGTTCCTCCTTCAAAGTCCACATCACATTTCTGCCTAAGTGTCTAAGGGTCTCTGATATAGAAAATATTTTTTTCCAACGCATTATGGTGCATTCAATCTTGTTTCTGCAGCTTTTCTGTGTTTGCAATTTTATATCTTGTAATTGAGACTTTATTTTTTCATTATTTTGTGTAGAATTTATTTACTTTATGAAATTACAAGAGGGGACCTGTAAAAAGGCTTGTGCCATATGCCCTTTCTGAAGCATAATCCGTCCTTACTTTAGTGATTTGCTTATGTTCGCATTTTGCCTTATTTATAATTTTCCTACACCTTTTTGTTGTTTGTTTTGTGATGCTTGTGGTTTTTGCACTCAGACAAAGGCAGACCTTTTTTTTTTTTTTGCCCACCTAATATTTAAAATCTAAACGTGCAATGATCTCAGCTGGTCTGATTTTACTCTTTAAATATGAGAATGTTTTTATTTGTTTACTATAATAAAGTTTTTCACATTTCTCTTTTAATCAGTTTATTTGGTTAATTTCCAAATATTTTGAATCGCCTTCACACGTGTAACGACAGGACCTCTACAGCGCCCTGTATTTTCGTTGCCTAGTAACGATTCTAACAACCATATTTATTATTATTTTTTTTTTATTTATTGCTTGAAGGACATAAATACCAAATAAATATCAGTAAGAAAAATCTTAATACAATTCAAAGAAGTCCAAATAGCAGCATAACAAAAAATACATAGATAAACAAAATAAACATAACAGGAAAAGTAAGAAAGAAAAACAAATGAAATAAAGGGAAAGAAAAAGAATCTGTGGTATTAAAGAATCAGCATTTATGAATGAAGTAATTGGCCAAAATCACAATATTATTAACCAAAAATTCAACATCACAATTCCGACAAAAGGACAAATATTTGACAGTTTTAAAATCAAAGTCAGGTATTACATACTTCAAACTTAACCAAGCATAGAGGTCATCCCATAATTTTTTAGAGAATTTGCATAAATAAAACAAATGTTCCTCTAACAACCATACTAATACCTATAACGTTACCTCTGAGATAGTTGCGGGATTTAGTCACGCTGCCACGCAGACCCTTGTTTAAAATGATGGACGGGCTTAAACAATTAGACGAAGAAGCTTTGCAAGACCTCTACGCGTGGATAGACAAGATGCCGTTCTCCAGACCCACACGGAATATTACAAGAGATTTTGGCGATGGAGTTATTTAATTCCTTCAAGAAACAAATAAACTATGTATGATGTTTGTTGACATTTTAAGAAGTGTTGCCCTAAATTTGACTAGATTAAAGTAATATAATATTATTATACGTACAGTACTTATTACACTTACAAAAATGTATTTTAGCTATATAGCATTTTACTCAGTTCAGTATTGTCAGTGAGCATTTGAACGATTTCCATTAGCAGTTATGACTGCAGAGGTAGTAGTGAAGCATTTCTTCCCTAAACTGGTGGAGCTGCACAACTACACGCCCGCGCATTCCAGGCAACAGAAGCTGAGTAACTGGAGCACCCTGAGCAGCAGGCAAGTATATTTATTTGTTCTCCATGCAGACAGTAATGCAAACACCGCATTGCTTATCTGACCCCCGAGTGTCGCTTGACACATTCCCCAGAGGATTGCAGGAATGTGACATTACACCTTAGCAACAACACTGGGATCTCCTGTTGAACTGTTAACACTGGCTGGGTCTAAAAGTGAGCTGCCTACCTAGACAGCATATTTGGGCATCATATGTAGAGCAATGGGGGAAATAGACAACAGTTTTCCTATCAAGTGTGGAGTGCTTTTTATAATGGATGGATGCACTTTATTGAACTTCAAAATCTCAACATCCATTCACTGCCATTATAAAGCTTGGAAGAGCCAGGACATTTTAATATAACTCTGATTCCTATCTCTTATGTTTGTCTAGAATTGGACAGCACACAACTGCTTCATGTTCTCATTTCAGAAAAGTTTTCTCTAAGCTGAAGTTCCATATACCTGAGAAGATGGTGAAGAAAATTGTAGTCAGCACAGCAGGCTGCATCCAGTCCTTTGCTCTCTGAGAGAGAAGATAGAGGAAAAACGAGCAGGAAAACAATTAGATGGCACACAGGTGGGTCTGTGTGTGTATTTGCATTTGCATTGCTACAGCATCTTTCTTTCGATATCACTCCCTCTTTCTTTATAATGGTTGAATGAACAGTAATCTAACCCTGCCTTATTCTTTTTTATAGGACTTTACAGCACTACAAATGGACAACCAAGATCAGGTAAATACTGTAAAACATAGAAATGTGGATTTAGCTTACCATTGTTTATAAGCTACAGTAGGGAAGTGAAGGTCATCTTGAGGAGGTACGACAATGAGCCCATGACCCAGCAGTAGCGCGTGGGGGAGGGCCTGTCGAAGACCCCCTAGGCTGTGGTCTGGTTTAGTAGCAGACTCTGGCTTCGAGTCTAGGTTCATTAAAGGGATAGTTCACCCAAAAATGAAAATTACCCCATGATTTACTCACCCTCAAGCCATCCTAGGTGTATATGACTTTCTTCTTTCAGACAAATACAATTGTATTTATATAAAAAAATGTTGAGAGAGTGGCGTTCCAGTGGATGACATAGGACGTAGGCGTAAGCTCTGGTGAGAAGTGAAGAACATGGAAGCGCAGTGGAGAGAGCAAAACAAAACACCGGTCATGTATTAGAAGTACAAAACGAGGATTTGTAAAGGAAAATGTTGGAGGATTTCAATATAACTCAAGAGGAGACTGGTTTTCCTTTGCTGTGAACAAAACTTGGCTCTCGTGAGGCTAGCATATTCTCATATGCTATGCTATGCTTCGCCTACGTCATCAGCTGGAACGCCACTCTCTCGAGCAAATAACCGTTAAACCGTCCATAACCGTTTGTCTCCTGTAGAGTCGTGAGGATGCTGGAGCCTATTGTGACAAACAAAAGACATGCAGACCAAACACAAAAATCTACATCATTACTGGTACAATAATACATACAATACAATCGACACATCATCTTTACACAGGAAGGAAATGGATGGATGATCTAATTTTTGCACTGCTTTTTTACATACTCAAAATGACTCACAGTGCTAACCTCAATAACCACCCACATAAATGAAATAGCAGAAGTCAGTGGCCAGGTAGCAGAAGTCCCACACCATATCAACTGTTTTCTGTCAAGGGAGAAGATATAAACTAGATTTGTGCTGGCTGTTTCCTCATATGAACTGTGATGATTCTTGTTAATGCTAGTGAGAATGGTAATATAATTCAACTGCTTAATTAGCTCATCAGTTGTATACTTGGAAATACTTGGAAATATTGAATACTTGGAAATGTGACACCATTAGATTTTTTAGGAAGCTTAGCATTCATGAGGTCTGTGGTCATACAGTAGTCTGATTGTCACAATACTCAGAAAACACAGCCCTTGCCTCAATAACTGTAAACCAAACTAGCAAGTTTAGCAAGTGAAGTGTCGCAAGGAACAATGATGCCCTTTTATGTACAAAGAGGAGCAGTTTCCTTTGTGGTTTTGTGATGATTTGTCTGTGAGATTTTGTGTCAGACCCTCTGGTTAGTTCATGCAAAAGCAACATTTCTGTCATCATTTACTCACTTTAATGCTGTATGATTTTATTTATTCTCTGGAACACAAAAGAATGTTTCAACTGCTTTTGCCCATACAATGAACAAAACCCCACTGGACCGCACTAAATTTCATTGTATGGACAAAAAAACAAGGCTTCTTCCAAAAGCTAAGGCAGCTGACGTTTTACCTTGATGCCTTATCAGGCTATGACTTTGCAGGCAATGTTAGCGCATAAAGGTACCTCCTGAAACAGACCTCTGAGGCAGTATAAAGGTTTAATAATCTGCAGCCAAATAAGCTTTGGTGATAACTAAGCGGATATTTAATTACTACAATACTAATTTCAGTCAAACAAGCAAATGATTAATGTACATTTACCACCAACCACCATTTTGTGTGCTCCAGTTACAATTTTAGCTTGATAAACAGTTATGGAAACTGTTTTTCTCTATGTATAATAAAATGGACTAACAAAACAGCTGTGTTTGGAAATAGGGCAAATTAACTGCATTGTCAGCACTCTTAACATTACATAGAAGGGGGCCAGATAGGTCAACTCTCCATTATCCACACCTCATCATCATAGCATCTTAGTCGTGACATCATCTGGTTTCAGGTCCAACTCCCTCTTTTCATGATAGAAAAGGTCCTGCGTCCATCAGCTCCATTCACCAGATAGCCCTTATCACTTCCAACAGGCTCAACACATTTGGCCAAAAGCCCTTTTCGACCATAGAAAACTCAAGCAAACAGTAGATTATTGAGTCTATTATGAGACCAGAGAGGCTAGATGGTTTCTGATATATCATATTATTGAAGTGCAGACCATTTCTATTGAGGAAACAGGAATCCTGTGCTTTTTACTTTTCTTTTTCCTGTAGGTGCTCTGCAATTTTAACTTGTTATTTTATGTTTTAATGGGATGTTTATAAGGTGAAGCACAGCTGGTGTTGATGATTCAGAGCTCAGAGCCAAATAAAACTCCCGCTACAGTCTGGTGCCCTGTCAATGTGTCTTTTTGACCTTATTGTGTTTAATGGGTTCAAATGGCGTCTAATTAGTTTAGCCTTCCTGGCTAAGCAATTCTCATGAGCTTAAACATCTTAAAGTATGGGGGAGTTCCACTCAGCTAGAGGAAATTGATTCAGGGTATCGTGAGGGTAAAGTCTCAGTGCCTGAATTTAGCCTGGAGAGATCCTGAATGCACTGTCAATGCCAAGACCTGGCAGTTGAGTTTTAGGCTGTCGCCTAAGACACATTTGTACATTAGCATGTTTACCTGTCTGCTAAAGCCCTTTGTTTAAAAATGATTAAAAGAAAATGTTTATTTAAAAAAAATCTCTTATTCCCTTTCTCTGTTTGCCCAAATCATCTGATGGTTATTGAGGCCACTCGTACCAATCCAGCCACTGTGAAGAAGACAGGCAATGTCAGGTACTGAGTGATGAACTGTGATGTGAAAAGGACTTTCTGAGGTTCATGAAGTCTTTCATGTAGGCCTATGAAAAAAAATCTACATTTATAATGGACTTGTGTGTTGGAAATCTTGTATAGTCCTGCTGCAGCCTTGGAACCAAATGTGGATCCAGCTGTCCGTTTGCTCTTGGAGGAAAAGGAGCAAGCCATTTTGGCTTTACAGGAGACTGTTGAGGTAAGGTTTTGATGCTAAAATACTTTTTCCTTTTCCAGTTTAATATGCAGAGACTAGTTTATTGGTTGAGTTCCCAGAAAAGTGTAAGCACTGTTGCTATCTGGTGTTTTCAGCATTGCAATGCAAACAGTATTCAGTCATTATTTTTACAGTTTCGAAACACTGCACCTTTAAAGCCGGCATGAAATTAAATCTTCTGTTTCCTAAATGCATGTTATTAATCTTATTGTGAACAATTTATCAATGCATGGTATTTTGTATTATTTTGTAATAATACAATCATTTTGTAGTAAAACAAAATATCAACACTCAATCTTTTTGTGAAACGACAGACTTCTCTCTTGTGATGTATGCTGGATTTTTCCAATCATTTCACAAGCTTGCATTCATCTACATCAACAACAATCAGTAGTATCATGTCACCATCCTGCATTTTTTTTCTTATAATGTGTTACACTCAGATGTACATCACAATACAGAAGAAATTATCTGTTGATTTGTTTAATTGCGACTGTAATGTGCATAAGAATTTGTAAAAATTCATTCCAAATCTTTTTTTTCTTGCATGAAATCTTTAAAAAATGCAGATGTTCTTTAAAAATGTGAAATCGTAAGTTTCAGCACCTTTAGCATACAATGCCAGCTGGTGAGAGATGCTTGTCTCACAAAAGGAAATTTGTCTTCCTGTGGTGTTCTCCTGGCTAGTGGTCAAGGGCAGCAGGTCACATGTTCTCTGACATGTTTCCTGTCACCGTTGCAAATGTGGTAAAAAACTGCAAGGTTGTTAAATGAGTCACTGTGAGTTCAGCAGCTGTGATATTTGTCACTTGACAGTTAGTAAGACTAGTTTAAGGTTGCAGTGACACTAATAATTTCAACAGTTTGTATTTAAATTCAAAGAAAAAGATATTCAGAGACTGGTCTATTTTATTTGTTCAACTTCTGCATCAAATAGTCATCAAAGTTTCTTTGGAAGGAAATGACAATGCTACAGGATGATTGTGACAGTAAACTTCTGTTTGTTCTTTTGTGCTGCTGTAAAGCCCTTGGTTTGCAGGTATTATATCATAAACCTACAACTGGTGTTGAATATAACATACAGTAAATGTTTTACTTTGCTCCAGATTTTACAGATTAAGGTAGACCGATTGGAGCATCTTGTGCATCTTAAGGATCTACGCATCGAGGACTTGACAAAGCACTTAGAGCGATATGAGGCATGCAACTCATGATCTCATTATTAAAATAAAGAGCCACCATCAGGAATTTTATTTCAGGAAGTGCATACCGTATGCACTTAAGACTCTTAATAAACTCTTCCAGAGAGCTGGTCTGTTGTCCATATGAAATCATCTCATTTTCCTCACCTGTGATTGTTGGCACTCAGAATAGAAGCACTGATGCTAATAACTAACATATTATATCAGCTGAGACCATCTACAGCAGTTTATGCCTTACACTGGAGCCCACCAAACTTTGGCAGTAAAATCCTGGGGACATTTAATCAGTTCTGTGGATGATTTAGTTTACTCAATGAATTATTTTCTAATTTAGACTTCACTGTATTTTGGAATTTTGCTGAGCATTCTACATTGTTCATGAGTCACCTGAGTTCATTATTAGGTGTCATTTCATTAAAAAAGCCATGTTTGTGGTTGATGTTAGACTGAAAGTAAAGAGTTTGCATTAAAATGGATTTCATTCTGACGTCAACATGGAAACTGACTCCTTTGGCCAAAATTGTTGATGACAAGTCGTAAACGTCAAGTTTCACTTCTCCTTTCTTTAAGAATAAATATATATCTTATCCCCCTTTGACACATACAGGAAAACACTGATGTTAACCTATGTTAACATGTATTATTACTATTATTATTATTATTATTGACAGTGCATGTCAGATTGTGTTGTTGAAGATTGTTGTGTTGTTTGCTCAGCCAACTTTCCAAAAGATGCTCAAAGGGCACCTCAAAAACATAGAGTGGCATTGAAAGGTCCATTGAAGAAGACTTGTCAGCATGCCACAGTTGCCCATGCCAGTTGAAGCAGTCTTAGTTTCACTTCCCCCCATGTGCCTGTCCAATGTGTGTAAGGGTACTAACACGTAACATTCTCTATATTTCTCTGGGGGTCCATAAACAGCTCCCTATTTTCACCACAAGCTATTCTTTATCATAAAGTCATCAGAGGGGAGACCTGTAATTTGGGGTTTTCCTTCAACAATGCAGATTTGGCTCCAGCAGGGTTGCAGCAGCTCATCCTCTCTCTCTGCTCTTTTGGCCAGAGGAGTTCACAAAGTCTTTTTGGAATAGTATTTGGCAATCACTTTGTGTCTCTCTCGTGAGGCATGTGTTTATGCTAACATCAACCCCATGTGGAAACCTCAGACCAAATGTAAACAGTTCTAAAGCAAAGTTGAGAACGGAAAAAAGCTTTCTCTGTCTATATGAAAGAGATTATTATGAATTACGAATGATTTCTTATAATTGACTGAATATATATCCTGAAAGAAATACGTTTCATATGGGAAATAAATACAAGAAGCTGATATTTCACATGTGTCCATAAAGTTCTCAGAGCTCCCTGGTGACTCAAGCTGAACTCTCGGAAAGAGGCCGGCAGAACTTGGGGGTTGGATCTTTGGGTGGTAAAGCTGCATTAAAGCTCTCTGAGTCACACTGAATTACAGTCAAAAGCATGCCTGAGCCCCTCAGCATGCAGACGACATATGAAGCACACTGTGAGAGCGTCTGGAACGGGAGTTGTTCTCATAAAGAGAGAATGAGTGTGGAACTCCCTCTGTCTCTCTGGTCTATAACAATGTCTCATTTTTAAGACCATCTACAAAAGGACAGGGTATAAAAGAGTCCAATCCAATAGAGAAAAAGTAATCGTAAGTTCTGCAGATACTCTTCTTCAGGCATGCAGGCAGGTGTGTGGGGTGGAGTTCCAGGATTGTTCAAAAGTAGTAAAAAGCGTTTACTCCTTCACTACCTTTTTAGGGTCCGTTTCAAGTGTGCGTGTTTAGTGCTTACACTTCAAAGATGTTTTATTTGTCTTCACAACAAATCGTTTTTATGTTGGATATTTTTCCAGTTATTTATAATTCTGAATATTCTGTGTTCAGAATAATCACACATTGAGCTCAATCGACAGGAACTGATTGGTTATTGAATATTGATTACTTCATAAAAAAAATAAAATAAACAAGAATATAAGTTGTGGTGAGGCACTTGCAATTAAATTAAATGGGCAATTTGTTTGGAGAGTTAAAGCTTGTGATTTTATAAAAGCACAATTCATAAATACATAAATATTATTTGAGATTAAAGGTTGTTTAAATCAATGTTTTTGCAAGATTTCAGGGTTGTAAACACTATTATGTTGTCATGGAAAAAACTGGATATAACTTTAGTAGGTAAGCAATTTTGTAACACTAAAATAATGCTAATATGCATATTGTTTGTAACAATATAGCCATACTATTGAAACAGTGAGTATTTTAATGTATTTTAAACAGATTGGCCCCATTCACTTCCATTGTAAGTGCCTCACTATTGCCCAGATGTTTTTTAAAGGTAATGAGGAAAAAAATGAATAAAAAAAAATTGTGGTAATCAAAATTATGCCACAAATGCTGTCGATTCAGCTTAACTTGCACTGAACCCAGAATATTCCTTTAAGAGCAATGGATAATAGTAGGCCTGTAATCCTCAAACTGAAAGTCTTCACTGCTGTGCTGTTCGGGGTTGGACTGCAGAGACAATCAACCTAAGTGTTTATTATGGCAATTTATCAGCATTTGGAAGGTTGAGATCATCACGTCAAGTAAAGAAGTGTAAAATGACATGACAATAGTGTTGTTTTGTTTTGCACACAGTAAAAACAAACAAAACTTAAGGCATGACACTACATAGTAAATTCATAAAAATGTGATGGTACAGTTCCAGTGAAGAAAAAATATTTGTTTGACAGAGTTCAGATGTAGGGGATAGCCTTGATTACTATCCCAGTACATCTGTTTCTGTTCAGACTAAGACATGACTGTCTGAAGCCTTCCTTTCTTTTATGTTGTTTAAATGACTCTTGGAAGATTAATGAGTGTGGAGTTTGTAATGCAATGAAAACCACATGTAATCAATCAAATTGACTAAAAACATCTAAGAAAACATTCTGTAAATAAAATGTCTTTTTATACGAGGTAATTGGCTTGTTTATTGAGTTTTCCACCCTACAGTCACTACTTTTCTCATAGGATCACTGAGGATGGGAAAGAGATCCGTAAATGTAGTTTGGAATTGATTTGCATGGATGTTTACTTTGCATCCTCAGATGTTCACATAACACAATCTGTGTTCTCTATTGAACTTTTCGCCTGTGTAATCTGTAAACAAGCTGTCTGCTGTCATCAGAAACATGATCCATCTATTAGTCTAAATGAGATGCATCCTGGATGATACCATAAAAACAAATACTTTACGGATTACTGTTCTAGACATGGCAGTTGCAGGATTGAAGATGGCCTAATTTAAGTTTCATTAAGCTTAAAAGCCGGTGTTGAAATGAACTAGTCCAGGAGAAAACTGATGACAAGCATGGGAACAATCTTGAAAAAGTGAGAGATAAACTCAGATTTCAGTCAGGTGTTACCAGAGAGAGATGTTAACCCTGTGACACACCCAGGGGTAAAACAAATCTCCCCCCTTAAAAACAGACTTGCACAGTATGAGTCAGTATGAATAAAGGGTTGTGCAAGCAGTAAGATAACTGTTCCTTCCCTTGGCAAGATAAGAGAACCACACACATGTGCACACTAACACTTGCCAAATGTCAGATACAAGTAAAAATTTACTCTGGTAAGACATGGCCAAGCTGAATTTTCAGCCGTCATTATTCCAGTCTTCAGTGTGATCCCTCAGAAATCATTCTAATATTAGCAATATTTTCAGAATCACTGATCCGTATAACTTCTATAACAAAACTTGTATTGCTTTTCTCATGCTTTTAGCCAAACAATTGATTTTGCTTATGGTGGAAGTTTTTATAAATAAAAGTTTTTAAGAAATTAAATCATTCTAATATGCTGGTTGACGCTAAAGAAACATTTGTTATTACTATCACTATTAGAAACAGTTGTGCTGCTTAATATATATATATATATATATATA